ATCATGAACCCAGTGTGTTTCCCTGTGAACACAAAGAATTTTCAATCTTTCTGGAGTCCCAGTAAGGTGCTGTTAAAGAACTGGGGATAAAATAAATTCCCACTGAATTAAATTGGCAGGAGCAGGAAGCAACCCCTATGGAAAACAAATGAAAATCAAGCCCAGATTAATCTGAATGGAACTCCAGTTTGTGAAAAAAAATGCAAAGAAAAGACATTGATTCCCTCCCAGCCCCCACTCAGGAAAAACAATCAGCAAAAACCAAATGATTTCAGCTCACATTCTGCAGAAGCAATGAAATACATCTGCATAGCTACTAATAGGATTCCTCGGAATGAACTTGAGCCCAACAGTAGCATATAGGCAGAAGCCTGCATCCCAAAATAGAAACCTCTTGGAATACACAGCTCATCTGGACAGGATTAGAGAAATGCTCTCTGAACATTTAGTGAGTTGAATTGAACCAATTTACAGCAGTCCTGGAACGTCCCAAACACAGAAGCTCTGAAAACAATGGGATAAGAAGGAATTCTTTGTCTGCTGCCGCATAAAGCAACTATTTCAGGCGACAATATCAGTGACGTTAATGACTGCTACACAACCTTTGGGTAGCTCTGAAGGCACTTTTGAAATCTGTGGCTGGCCCTTGGGTACAATGCTGGAATTGTACCCAAGAGATTTTTTTTTTCATTGGTTTCACAGTTTCAGGAGAGATTAGTCAGATTTGCCTCCGACTTGTTTTTTGGTCACCCTGAAGCAGAACAATGAATAACGTGATAACAGTGAGGTTTGCTGTAGGGAAATTAGGGTTTTCTTTCAATGGGGTATCTGGAGAAGAAGGGAGAGACAATTCTCAATATAGCTGATTCTCTTGAGCCAAAAAGCTCCTGAAAATGTCACTCAAATATGACAGGACCAAGATTTAAATATTGAGAAAGATCAAAGTAACCAATGCCTGAAAAGTAACATAGTTCCCTTTCTCCAAGGCATAATTCAAGCTTACCAACTAGATCCCAGATGACACTCAGGGAAAGTGCTTGGAGGAGCTGGACTGCACAAACCTGGTAGAGCAACACTGTTCTACCAGTGTTACTCTTTCAAAAATTATCCTCTGTTTAAGTAGACTGTAAAAGAAAAAGGGACTTTTCTTTTTATATAAGTATTGTTTCATCAAGGTGCTATTTGGCACATGAAATAGTGAACTTCAACCCATCTGTCTCCAGGGAAAGACAAGCAGCCCAGATCTGCTCCTGAAGGAAACAGAACTCACAGGAGTCACACTATTAACACTCAGATCATGGGAATGAATAAAGTATAAACACCTAGAGAGGACAGATGAAAATATCAGGGATGTATTTGATCCCAGGTGGTATAATAAAGTTCCAGATCACATCAAGTGGACAAGCTGGAGTCTTAAACCTCCTCCTCCTCTGCACTACTAGAGTGGCCTCAGCTACTCCATCCTGATCCCAATTAAAAGCTGTCCAGGTTTATCTACAACCCTGGTATTTTTAGATTGCATGTTCTTACCAAAAACTCTTTGAAACTGACGTTGAACAGAGTTACTCCTGGTTTATGTCAGAACAGGGAAGATTCAATCCCTAAGAGATTCAGCGGCTCTTTTAAACTTTTTTTTTTTCCTTAGGCTCTGGATGAGGAGCCAATTGCAGTGAGACCAAGAATACACCATGATAAACAGAATATCCAGAGTTTTCATAATGGGAATTAGGAAAAAATAAAAGATTTTAGAGGGGTTAAAATTCATTTAGTTGGCAAAAAGGGGCAAGGGCTGCCACATTTCAGACACCAAAAATCTGAAAGTGCAAGGCAGCACTTTGTGTGAGTCTCTAGCTCAAACTGGGGCTTGGATACAGGTACCTGCAATTTCCATACAAACCTTCCAGACTTGGGCTCAGCAGGCTGCAAAATGTCATAACTTATGCCATGAGAGTCTTCCTCAGACAAAAACAATCATCCCTTGTGGGAAGAGTCTCAGTCAGACACACTGAGTCATTGTCTGTGTTTCCCTACTGACAATCTTCACATTGAGGGGTTTTAACCATTGCAATCAAACTATAACAAATTAGAGGTCTTAGATGTATTATATTCTTGAAGTTTTAAAAAATAAAAATAGATGGCTAAGTGAGAAGGAAAGGCTTCTTAATTCTTCCAGAGAAGAAAAGAATTCACTGTGAGCCCAGTTTTTATTAGATACCTGAGACTCTATGTAGGGGACAGTAGGTGCAGAAATGCCAAATGTGCAGAGGCTTCAGCCAGAATTCCTGATGTGGAAGACATCAGCAAACCTGCATCGCACATCACTGGTTTGTTGTAATGTGGATTTTCTGATGTCTAATGCAGGGTTAGCTTACATGCACCCTCAGTGCCATTGAGATTAAAAGTCAACCAATGTGAGATACAAACCCTTCGGAAAGCAGGACTAAACAGGGTACTTGTGGGTGTCTTAATGCAAATAATTGGACACATAGATGAAAATTATTGTTCCTAGAAGGTTTTCAGAAATACAAAAAAACACATGGCAGAGAGGAATAACATTTGCAAAACAATCAAGATGGTTTTCAGGAATATTATTATTTCTGTTGAACTCGGTTATGGGATAAATACCTCAGCTGGTCTTATATGTATTGACTGAAACACCCTTAAAATATACCCTTAAGATATGACGAAAAACTCACAATATTTAAAATAATAATTTCACTGAATAACTGTGAGATGAAGACACAGATAATTTTCTGATGAGCCAGATAAAGTAGCTACAGCAAACACTAAAGATCATTAGAAACACATTGCAGCTTTGAGAAATCACTTCCTCCCTGGCATGAATAAGAGGTCACCAGACAGGCATTCAGAAGGTGTGATGCATCATTTCTCCCATGAAAGAAAGGAAGCTGCCTCAGACAGGGCTGAGTTGTGCATGACTCTATTTGGCAAAAAAAGTCAAAATATTTTGAACCATAGTGTTTCTGTACAGAAATTTCAAGAGATACTTGTTTATCTTCTTATTCTTTGCAGTCAGCTTAGAACTCAGAGAGGGGAAAATATAACTTCCAATGGAGAAGGTTTGATAGAAATTACTATGGATTATTTGTTGCCATTTTGTTCAATGCCCAAAGATTTTCCATAGTTAGTTGTATACTGTATGGGGATTGCATTCATGCTGTCAAAAATATCTGTTCCGGCAATGAGGGGAGAGATTTATTTTACCAGTTACCAGTGCATTCTTTAGTATCCCAGTCCCAATAGGTCTTCAGCTGTCTAAGTCCTACATTGCTTAGCTTGCAATATGTGATTTTTGCCCAAAAAACATAATTCTGGAGATGGTCTCATCTTGGGACTTTCCATGTATCTTCTGCTCTTAGATTCACATGAACAACTGTTTGCTTTAGGATGAATCATGTCATATTTTTACGATTTCTGACACTTATAAATATTTTGCTTCCGCCTGTCGGTGAAGTCAGCCACTTACTATTATTAAATGTCGTGCTGTGTTATTCCCCTTTTTGGGTGATGATCTCAGTGGAGCCCTGACCGAATCCAGCTTCACACTCTCAGATCTCACAGAAGTGCTACTGGTGTGTCTCCCGTTTGTAAGATCCCTGGTTACCAGCTGCCTTGAAAACCTGTGCTAATATGTTGGAATTACTTGTCCTCTCAAGCTGATTCCAGACCTGTGGTTTATGGATTGCCTTTGTGGTTTGCTAAAGGTCAGGCCCTGGATGGCTCTAAATTTTCTTAAGTGGAATTCAAACACCGCAGATGAGTATGTGTTCAAAGTCACTGTCCTGGGTGGTACGGATTCAGATTTGGTACTTGTGCTCAGGAGTGGTGCCTGTCCTCTTCTTTGGGGCAGTGATCAGATGTGGGTGTCTCGACCTCTCAGTGCACCATCCATCCACCATTGTTTGTTCAGATCCCAACTGCCCCCAAAATTTCAGGCTCAGGCTAGACCCCAAGTCACATTTCAAATTGTGCAGCCCCACTCCCACCCCATCCCCACGCTGATGCCATCCCTGCCTTTGGCCCGACTCACTAAGTGTAATTCTCACTCTCTTTTTGCTGGCTCACAGGCAGTGACTGCATCAGCCATAACTCAAAATTGTGAACAGATGAGTAGATTACTTACTTGAACTCTACTCAATCATTACATCACCCTTGTACTGAAAATCACAGCACTGGCTCCCCATTAGATTTTGCATCCACTTTTGGGTTTGGCTTCAGAGCTACTGGATTTACTCACTTGCTCCAGCTTACCTAAAAGAGCTGCTTGTGCCTCATAGACATCCTCAGACTCTGAGATCAGTCGGTGCCGAGTTATTGATCATTCCAACACTCTGACTGAAAACTGCTGCTATTGAAGGCTTGGTTCCTCCAAACATATTTTGTGGAAATCCTTGCAACCTTCATCCAAGAAGGGGAAGGGAAATAAATCTGCAAAACTGTCCAAACACAAAGAGAAAACACTTTCTTGAGGCTGACAACAGCTTGGCCTCAGCAAAGGAAGAGTTCAGATTTTTCTTTTTAATTTTTCTTTTGTAAAACCCTTGCTGTGCAATCTTTGCATTCAGAAATTTTCCTGACTCAGGAATAGCTGTGGATGCTAGACAGGATGCAGATAAGAGCAGTGAGAAGCCAGAGAGCTGTGGCACATAGGTCTGCCACGATGGGTAAGCCCCTAGCAAGGCCCCCAAAAGCAGCAACTCTGAGCAACTGGATGCTCAGAACTCCAGGCACTTCCAGCACAGCCATGACTCAGCACTGGGCAGTTCTAGCAGTGATCAAAACCCTTTTGGAAGTGCTGATCTTTCCCCATAGCAGTCAGTGCTGGCTGACTCCACCCGTCCCACTGTCCATCAGTGGCTCGCTCGCTGTGGGTCGCGCTGCTGCCATCAGAACCTTGGCCATGGTACCCACCCGCTCTTCTGGCCATCATGGTGCTGTTTGGAAGTCAAGTCTGACCTATGCTGAGAAATGAGCTTCCTCTCCCTTGGTGAAAATCAGCTCAGGACAAGATCAAAGGTGTGTAAACCACGAGTCAGGGCACCAGCAAGGGCTTGCCAGCCCCCTCTGCTGCAATGAGGGGCACTGCTGCCCACTCAATAAGAGGGAAATTAAGCATAAATGCTGCAAACTGAGCCTGCCTGGAGCTCACTGCAGAAGAAAAAACAAAAAAGCACTAAATGAAAATCAGCATTTACAACCAATTGGCACCTCCCTAAACAGGCTCACCTGATGAGTCAAAGTCTATGTGTTCAGGTGTGGAAAAAGGGATGATGTCCACAAGCCAGGTCAGTTCAGGCTGATGGGTCAGTGTCTCATGTGGTCAGCCCTTACTCTCAGAGGCACACACCATAAATCCTACAGCCTAAGGGCCACTAAGGACAATAGAAGAAAAGGGAATGAA